GAGACAGGCAACCGAGTGTCGTAGCTCAAGCTTCCATTGAAATTGACTCATCACTAGCTGGGTGATGGTGGCACATGCCTTTAATCCCAACCTTCTGGAGGCAGAGGCAGGTCTGATCTACAAAGTGAGTTCCAGGATAGCCAGGGTTAGAACTAGAAACCCTGTCTCAAAAAAAAAGAAAAAGAAAAAAGTTTACTTATCACCAAACCTCCATCCCCACGTCCCAGGTGCAACAGTCCCTACAGGCTGCTGGGCTTGTCGGTGACCTTGATGCCGACTCTGGACTGACCCTCAGCAGGAGAGTCCGCCGGGCCCAGCTTGCCCACTATAATTTTCAGTTTGGTAAGTTTGGTTAGCTTTGGCGCTCAGAGCCCCAGGCTCTGCATTCTCGGTATTAAGTCTATTGTTTGGCTTGTGTACATTGGATTAATTGGGCTCATTACCTAGGCCGGGAAGGAGCCTGACTAATCTGCCTCCCCTGCTCCTTCCCACAACCTCTTCCATCTCAGAACAGCTTTCTTCTCATTAACCCAGCCAGGCCAGCAGCAGAGAGAAAGGGACAGCAGAGGGCTGAAATGAAGCTCACCTGCAGTCCAGGACTGGGGAGGTGCATGCGGGAGGATCAAAAGTTTGAGCTATATGTACATGTATGTACGTATGTATATGTACATATATGTATGTGTGTATGCGTATATATATCAAGATTTTCAGTAACAAAGAGCTGGGCTTGTAGCTCTGTGCCAGAGCATGAGTTTGATCCCAACACCAAAACCACCGAAAGCTTTAATGGATTGGCCTTGTTTGTTGTTGAGTGGGTGGAGGCAGCTCTAGGGCACAAGAAGGGCCCTAGGAAGGAAGTTGCTCTGGCTGTTAGGACTCTGGAGGCAAGAAGCAGAAACTGCCCAGCCAGACCGCCTGATGGGATCACGCATGCCAGTCGCCTTGCCTGCACAAAGAGCCAGCTATGCCACAGTCCAGCCCCCCTCCCTTCCTGTATTGTACCCCTCCCCCAGGCACACACATATGTTTTTTTTCTTTGTGTGAGCTCTTTGTCTGTTTCTTTGACTCTCCAGCCCTGGTCTCCTGACCAGTAGTGATAAGTCGAGTGGAGCCTGGACCATTTCCTTGTCTCCTCAGAATGGACAGGCAGCAGCGTAGCAGGCACAACTGAATGTACTCCTTTAAGCCGTGTCTAGACTCTGCTCCCACCATCCCCCCTGCCTAAAGATTCAGGACTCTGAAGTTTCTGCAGAGTAAAAGGAAATAGCCCATAGGGTGAGCTTTCCTGGGTTTGCAGTTGTTTCCTCTTCCTGCAGTGGTCGGCCAGAGAGAGCAGAGTAAGAGAACAGTGAACATTCGCACTCGAGACAACCGACAGCTCGGGGAGCGAGGCTTGGCCGAGTCTGTGCAGAGGCTGCTGGAGTTACAGGACGCCCGGGTCCCCAATGCGGAAGAAATGTTCTGAGTTTTGTTCCCTGGTGAGGCATAGACTCCTGAGAGCCCCTTATCATGGGAGATCCCAGCCCGGCTGGCAGCCAGAACGTCCCTGACTCTTGAGAACTGCCTGGTTTGGAGGGCCCTGCACAGCAAAGAATGATGTGCTGCTTGCATGGGGGGAGAATAAAAATAAACTTGAAGCCGAGGCTGTGTCTTCATCTGATCTGGTGGGAAGGGTCTGTGTTGTCTTCCTGCTGCTCCAGACCTGAGGAAAAGAGATACTGAGGCCTGAGCAGCTGGGGAAGTGTCTCAGGCAGCCATTCCCAGTCCCATTCCGAGGCTGTCAGACCCCTTCCCGACAAAGACAGTTTACAGATGGAAAACCGAGGCGCAGATTACGGATTTGGATATCAAGTTGCTCTGTGATTGTCTGCGTCAGCTTTGGGGTCCTGTGAGGGCTCCCTCCCATCACCTCCATTATTCCCAGTCTTGTAAGGAGGCTCCAGGATGACTTTGAGAGGAGTGGCTGTGAGAGGAGGAGCAGCTGGGCCTGAGTCACGGCAGGAAACAGGAGGGCGGGAGATAGCATATAAAAAGACAGCAGGCCCTGGAGTACACGGCAGCAGTAGCAGCAGCTGGCAGCAAGTGGCTCAGACCTCCACGTCCAGATCTACCTGGGACAACCAGCTTCTGAGTGGCCAGTGACCAGTTCTTGCCCCAGGATGGGGACCTTATCCAGAGCAGCCTTGATCTTGGCCTGCTTGGCCCTTGCTTCTGCTGCCTCTGAGGGAGGTGAGTCGGGGTGGGGTCAGCAGTTGCTTAGTAGCCAGGCTCTAAACAGCTCATCAGCAGTTGGGTTCAGAGCTTCCTTTTTGTGAGCATGCTCACCATGGGGCTGGGGCAGGAGAGGGATACCTAGGGATAGTTGCTAAGAAACACAAATTGGAGTCAGACTGACAACACGGGACAGGTGAATGTACAGGCTGTGGGGCCTGGAGATGTCTGAGGAGGGCTCTCAGGAGGTGAGGAAGAAAAAGAGGTCCCCAGGCTGCTCAAAACCAGTCTGCTGACCCTGGGAGCCTTCTGACTCACTGGCTAGAAGGCCAGTTAGGGGTGCCCATTCACCCTCTCCTAAGCACACCCACACTGCTGGAGTCTGAACAAAAGGGAATGCTTACTGTAGATGGGGGCAGACCCCAAGATTTCAGTATATGCAGCCTGTGCCTGGCAGAACCCTACCCATTGTCCTGGTCCCTAGTCTGGTGTCCTGTGTCCAGCTACAGCCTAAAGGAGGGCCAGTGAGATGGCTCGGTGTGTAAAGGCACTTGCCAACAAGGCCAGTGACCTGAATTCGAGCCCAGTAACCCACATGGAAGGAGAAGACTGGCTCCCACAGTTGTCCTCTGACCTCCACACACTCACTGGGACACAGTGCACATAGAAAAGTATATTTTATATACCATATATTAGAGATTTAGAGATATACATTGTGTGTGTGTGTGTGTGTGTGTGTGTGTGTGTGTGTGTGTAAAGAAACCCAAAGTTAGGATCTGAGATTGACTGAAGATGGCAGTTAAACGCTTAGCTGGGCTTCCTACCCAAAGGCCTATAGGAGGAGGTTGGTGGGGAGGTGGGTCCTCTGAGGCTAGAGACCAGCAGAGCAGTGGCTATGGGGACAGCCACAAGTCCCATCCACATGTCACACTCCCCTTAGATACAAACTGAGGTTTTCTCAGGCCCCAACCCACTCACATCAAGGTTGGTGTGGGAGATTGAGGGGAACACTCTTGGCCCCCATGGCCTCTCCATCCTTTGCTCAGGACCAGGAAAGGACCTCCCAACACTGCCTCTGACTTGTTCTTCCTTCCTCCAGCCTTCAAGCCTTCAGAGCAAAAAGAGATGAAGCCAGAGAACCTGTTTCTGCACCTTCATGAAGGTGAGAACCCCTGCCCAAGAACCAAGTCTATCTTCTGTAGCTTCCCCGGTCACCGAGGTCGGAGGACAGAAGCGTTGAGGGTGCATGGCTGATGCACTTGGGGGAACAAGCGCACAATGAGTCTAGGAGCTGCGGTTCTGTCTCCCTTGCCTCCAGTTGCCTCTAGTCTAGGAGCTGCGGTTCTCACTGTCTCCCTTGCCTCCAGTTGCCTCTAGTCTAGGAGCTGCGGTTCTCACTGTCTCCCTTGCCTCTGGTCTAGGAGCTACGGTTCTCACTGTCTCCCTTCTTGCCTCCAGTTGGCTATGCAGCCCCTCCTTCCCCATCACAAACCCGGAGACTCCGAGTGGACCACTTTGAAACTTCTCAGCCCGACCCTCTCTTTGAGGAACAGAGGGAAGGTAAGGCTACCCACAAGCCCCTCGTGCTTCCTGCTCTCCAGGTGGGGAGGAGGGACCCCCACCTTGCTGTCTGGCTCAGAGGGGTGGACTGACTGCTCGCACTGCCCGTTCTATAGTGCAGCCCCCTTCTCCAGAAGCCATCCCTGTCCAGGAAGAGTGGCCCACTCTCCCAAGGTCAGGAGAGAATATAGGTGAGTGCTTCCCTGGTCCCCAGCCCCACTCCACTGTGGTCCTGATGATGCTTGTCTGATCTCCACACCCTGGTGCCTTCACCCGTCTTGCAGTCGGTCGTCCTGTCCCTCAAGAAGCCATCCCCCTACAGGAAGAGCAGCCCCCTCTCCAAGTTCCTATTGAGCAGAAGGAAAGTAAGTGACTCCTCTTACTCCAGAGCATGGGCTTTGGAGGCCGACGGGGTGGGCAGCTCTGCCACTGAGGCCTGTGTGACCCCGTGCACTGCTCACTTCTCTGAGCCTTGTCGCCCTGGGTTTGGTCCCCAGCACCACAGCACCTGGTTGTGGCAGTTCCCTGTTGTCCCAGCACTTGGGAGGAGGCCTAACCATCAGAGTTCAAGGTCACCCTGGGGTACATAAAGCCCTTTCTTTAAAAAAAGGAGGCAGGCAGGCAGGAAGGAAACGGTGTCTATTCCATAGCTATAGGTTAAGTGATACAAAGTAGGGCTTGTGTCTCATTGGCCTCTCGAGTTCCTTCGTGCATGGGAACTAGAAAGGGCCCATTTTCTAGAGGTGCCCATCCCACAAACCTTTTGCTTACACATCTCCTTCTACCCAAGTAGAGCCATATGCCCAGCATCAGGAGGAGATGCTCCAGTCCAGGCAGACAGAGGGTGAGTGACAGCAGTTGTCTCTGCCCCTGCGCATTAGCCCGCAGGCTCAGAACCTGAGCCTCAAGGAAGGACCTAATGCAGGTCCAGGCTGCAGGTCCGCGCAGTAACCTTTTCTTTTCAGTGCGGGTCAAGGTAAGAAGCCGGGACTAGCTTCGTGCTTCCACACATGCTCCCAACCCTCCTGTTCAACCCACGGTCTTCCAATTCTTCCAGCTCAGTCCACCTTAGCATAACCCTCCCCACTGCTTTCCCAATTTCAGAGAAGCCCTTCGTGGGCCAGCGCGCCCCAGAACCCCAGCCTTCGAACCCGGTGCAGCACTGCCAACAGGGCCGGAGAGGAGGCTGGGGCCACCGGCTGGATGGCTTCCCTCCTGGACGGCCTTCTCCAGACAATCTCAACCAGATCTGCCTTCCTGAGCGCCAGCATGTGGTGTATGGCCCCTGGAACCTGCCGCAGACTGGCTACTCCCACCTTAGTCGCCAGGGAGAGTCCCTCAATTTGCTGGAGACTGGGTATTCCCGCTGTTGCCGCTGCCGCAACCCCACAAACCGCCTAGACTGCGCGAAGCTTGTGGTAAGGGTTTGACTGCCGGGGACCGGGGTGTCTCTTAACCTTCAGACAGTGTGTGTGTGGGGGGTATGGAAGGGCTAGAACCTTGCCCTGGGTACAGAGGACCTCAGGCTCCTTTCACTGGCTCTACCGCAAAGACCTCCTCAGCGTGCCCCAAGAGCACTGGACGGCCATGCTGCTTTCTTGTTTACCTCCTGGGGTCCTTTCCTGGAGCGCGGGAGGAAGGCAGGAATGCGGACAGTGGGTTTCCAGGCTGACCCACCCCTCTCACTGTAGTGGGAGGACACAATGACCAGGTTCTGTGAGGCTGAGTTCTCTGTCAAGACCCGACCTCACCGGTGCTGCAGACAGCGGGGGGAGGAGCGATTCTCTTGCTTCCAAGAGGAAGCGCCGCGGCCACACTACCAGTTCCAGCCCTGCCCCATCCACCAAACTGGCATGTCCTCAGGGCCCCAGGTGCCTTTCCCCCCGGGGTTGCCCACTCCGGACAATGTCAAAAACATCTGTCTCCTGAGACGCTTCCGCTCTGTGCCACGCAACCTCCTAGCTACTGACCCCATCCAGAGGCAGCTGCAGGCTCTGACCCGGCTGGAGATGGAGTTCCAGCGCTGCTGCCGCCAGGGCCACAACCACACCTGCACATGGAAGGCCGTAAGTGGGCACCCCAGCCACCTCGGAAGCTTGTCTGCCTGCCCACCTGCCCCCCAGCTCCACTGCTGACTCTACAGCCGCCCATCCACGCTCTTCCCCGTGAGCACATCCACGTTCGTCCACTTGTGATTGTCCGTCCATCACTGTGTCTGTCATCTGAGTCTGTTCACGCTGAATCTTCCTGCTGCCGTCCTGGGCGTATCCACCGTGACCCACCCGTGACCCCGCACATGCACCTGTCTGCCGTCAGTCAGTCTGTCCAGCTCTGGCCTCAGCTGACCCTCTGTACCTGCTGTTGCAGCTCGTCTCCAGTGGCTAACTAGGAGCTTCATCTGTGTTCCTCCCTCGCACGTTCCCCAGCCCACACAGCCATAACCGCCCCCTGGTCCTCCAGTTCCTCACTCTCCCCCTCGGCCCATGGGGCCTCATCTCCTAGATGATAGTGATAAGGTGTGGCCAGGGGAGAGGGGCCAGGTAGTCGGGCCTCTGACGGAATCTTCTGTTCCACAGTGGGAGGACACCCTGGATGAATACTGTGATCGGGAACTGGCTATAAAGACCCATCCCCACTCCTGTTGCCACTACCCTCCTAGCCCTGCCCGGGACGAATGCTTCGCCCAGCGGGCTCCCTACCCCAACTATGACCGGGATCTCTTGACCCTTGACCTCAGCCGAGTCACCCCTAACCTCATGGGCCATCTCTGTGGAAACGGAAGAGTTCTCACCAAGCAGTGAGTCTTGCCTAGATGTTCCCAACCCTCTTGTCTGTCCAAACCTCCTCCCTCCTGGGGTGTCCTTGGGGAAAACAAAATCATGATCTCCCAGTATCATTTGGGGGAAGGCTGTTTATTTATTTTGAAAGTTTCACTCTGCGGTCAAGGCTGGTCTTGAACAGAGCCAATTCTCCTGCCTCAGCACCCCGAGTAGTAGGAGGGTGGGTATAAGCCACCACCCACACAGCCTTTGGGTGCTCTGAACGGCACAAGACCCTGAATCTGCCCCTCTCATACCAATCAGCAAACAGATTCCTGGGCTGATCCAGAACATGACTGTCCGCTGCTGTGACCTGCCCTTTCCAGAACAGGCCTGCTGCGGTGAAGATGAGGTGGGTGACTCTGGGAAACAGAGGAGGAGGGGAGAGGGCTGGAGGTAGAAATGGCCTTTCATTATAGTCTCTGAAACCTGCTCCCAGAAACCAGAGGGTGAGAGGGCTAGACCCTCCTCGGTGTTCCAGACGCCTTCCCTCCCGACTTGACCTATTATCCCTGCCCTGGGCCTCAAGCTTCTGGCATTTCCAGATGTGCACATCTGTCAGTCACAAGGAATCCTGCTGTGCTAGGAAGGGTTGCACAGCTTCTGGGCCTCCAGAGGAAATCCAGTGGTCAAACAGCAGAAGCTGTCCAAGGAGGACTGAGGGCCCCCGAGCCAACCTGTGACTTCACCATACCCAATTTTACACTCCTTTTCCAGAAACTAGCCTTCGTCGAGAATCTCTGTGGTCCCCGAAGGAACTCCTGGAAAGATCCTGCCCTCTGCTGTAACCTGTCTCCTGGGGATGAGCAAGCCAACTGCTTCAATGTCAACTATCTGAGAAATGTGGCCTTAGTGTCCGGAGACACTAGGGATGCCACCAGCCAGGGGGAGCAGGGCCCAACTGGAGGAACAAATGTCCACCCCACCCCTGGGTCCAAGGAAGAAAAATGAGTCACCCTGAGCCTCGGAGGATTAGATGGGGAACCCCACCCTACTCCACCCTCCTTGAACACTCATTACAATAAATGCCTCTTGGATTTGGCATCCTCACTGTCCTTAACGCACAAACACGCCCTCCTAAGCTCTTTAAGACTGGCCCAGTGCTGTCCTCACCGACGGCACAGGAGGTGTTCCTCAGGTGGGGGACCATAGCTAAACGGCTGGGTCTCTTGCCATCGTGATCAAGTATTTGAAAAAAACACCACCCCTGTAACTGGCTGTTGGGATTCAGGGTGAAAAGGATGTAATCTATGTTCTTAATGGGCCACAGCCCAGGCTGACATTTTAATCCTGCTGTGCTCAGGATGGAACAGCGTCCTGACAACTAATCACGTTATTACACTGAGCTGTGTCCCTATGTCCCTAGCCTAGGCTGCATGGTCTCTGGGTGTGTGTGTTTGTGAATGTGCATGTGTGCATATGTGTGTGTGTGTGTGTGTATGTATGCACGTGAGCTTCCCAGGTAACCAGTCGGCTAGCTTTGTGGATCCTCGGATTCCGCTGCCCACTGACTCACAGACCCACAGCAGCACCTCAGCTAGAGATCCCAGCTCAACGGCAAGCACGTACCATCTCCCTGCCCCAGCCTGGCATTTTAAATCACTTTCAGCCCTTTAAGAATTCCTGCTTTGTGCTGGGCAGTAGTGGCGCACGCCTTTGATCCTAGCACTCAGGAAGCAGAGGCAGGCCTGGTCTACAGAGCGAGTTCCAGGACAACCAGGGCTGTTAAACAGAGAGACCCTGTCTCCAAGAACAAAACAACAACAAAAGTTTCCACTTTGGCTCATTATCAATTTGCCCCCCATTTGTGATCATGTCAGACTTGGGAAAAACACAGTTTAAAAAAACACACAGCCCCCGCCTGGTCATGCACTGTCCAAGAACCTGTTTGCAGGTGTGCCGAGTGTTGTACAGGGTGCTTAGGGTGCCAGTCTGCTCTGAGCAGGTCAAGACCTGAGTGGGGTGAGGCTGAGCTGAGGCAGCGGGTGGCACTGGGAGCTTCCACTCCAGACGGGCAGGATGAGTGCCTCGGGCACGAACACCAAGGCTTTACTCTTTCTTAACTTTATTTATCTATCTATCTATCTATCTATCTATCTATCTATCTATCTATCTATCTATCTATCTATTTATTTATTTGCATTGGCGTGAAGGTGTCAGATCCCCTGAAACTTTTTACAGACAGTTGTGAGCTGCCATATGGGTGCTGGGACTTGAACTTGGATCCTCTGGAAGAGCAGTCAGAGCTCTTAACCACCAAGCCAAGGCTTTACTCTTTCGTGGCCCCCTTAGGCTCCCGGAATGATACAAGGCCACTGGAGTTTCCAGCAAAAGATGTACTCAAATTTGCTTTGGGAGATGTCTAGTCAGCAACCATGTTCCCAGACAAGAGGGTTGAACTCCAGCCCTGAGGTGAATCAGACAAGGGCAGTGACTGATGGGGACCTTCAAGGCCTGCGAAGCTGCCCTGGAACCCTGAACCTCAAGGCTGAGGATGGAATACTCCTGGGGAGGGCTTCCTCTGGGACCCGGGTGGTGGCAGAACATCTTCCCAGAAACACAGACTTCTGAGTTCCAGTTCTAGCCAAAAGGGTGAACCAAGACCGGTCATGCACCCTGGCTAGGACCCAACCCACACCAGCCGCTTCCTGCACCGCCACAGCCTTCTATTTATTTTTTTGGTCAGTGGTTGTTCCTAAGCAACCGCTTAGCAGATCCTTCCTGCCTGTCAGCACTAGGGCCAATAGGCGGGCGGCCGCAGCTCATCGCCCCACCCCAGCCCCTGTCCGGAGCTCCAGAGCCCCAGCAGTCCACGCAGAAATCCCAAGCACTCTGACCGGAAGTCACACCCCGAGACCCTTCTGTCTTTACCCGGCTGTAGCGCAGCACCAAGTGGCACAGCACCGGCCGCCGCGGTACACAGTGTGCTGGGAGGGAAGAAGGAACCAGAGATAGTAACTAGGCGGTGAGTGTGGACAACATGAAATGGGTTGAGGTTACCAAGGAAAAGGGGAAGTATTAAAATTCACAGCAATTAGACGTGAAAATTAACTATTAAGATAGAATTTAAACCAGGTGGTGGCGCACGCTTTTAACATCAGCACTCAGGCGACATTGGCAGGTGGATCTCTGAGTCCTAGGCCAGCTTGGTCTACAGAGAGAGTTCCAGGACAACCAGGACTACACAGAAAAACCCTGTCTCCAAAAGCCAAAAGAAAAGAAAAACAGTTTAAGTTTGTGGGAGGCACAGGAATCAGAGCTTCTGAGGAGAGCTGAATTCCACAGAGCTGCTAAAGCGCAAAGTGCTGGAGAGGTGGCTCAGTGGCTAAGAGCCCTGACTGCGCGGGAAGAGGACTTGTTCCAGCGTCCACAGCATGGCTCTCAACCCTGTAACTGCCCTTCTAGGGAATCCAAGCCCTCTTCTGGCCTCTGCTAGCCCCGGGCACATACAGGCATGCAGACAAAATGCAGAGAATTAATCAATCTTTTAAAAATTACAAAAATAGCTGGGTGGTGGTAGTGTACGGCTTTAATCCCAGCATTTGGGAAGCAGGACAATCTCAGTGAGTTTGAGCCCAGCCTGGTCTACAGAGCGAGTTCTAAGACAGCTGGGTCTGTTGTACAAAGAAACCCTATCTCAAAAAAACAAAAAGACAAACAAAAAAATTAAAAACAATAATAAACAACTTTAGATTTTTATTGGAAGAGATTGGAGAGCTGGTTTAGCAATCAGGAAAACCTGAGTTTTGGTTCCCAGGACTCAGGCAACTCACATCTGCCTGCAGTTACAGATCCTGGGATCCTGCTCCCTCCACCAGCACCTGCGACACGTGGCGGACATGCGGCATACAATCAAAATAGAAAAAAGATTGGTGGCCAGGCAGTGGTGGCACACACTTTTAATCTCAGCACTCTGGAGGCAGAGGCAGGAGGACCTCTGTGAGGCCAGCCTGGTCCACAGAGCAAGTTCCAGGACAGCCTCCAAAGCTACACACAGAAACCATGTCTCAAAAAAAACCAACCAAACAAAAAAGATGGTGGTAGCTCAAATCCTCAAACTTGGGAGGCACAGGCCAGTGGATCTTACTGAGTTTCAGGCCAGCCTGTTCTACAGAGTTCCAGGACAGCCTGGTCTACAGAGTTCCAGGACAGCCAGGGCTACATGAGCCCCTGACTCAAGAATAAATAAATATCTAAGCCCGACTAGAAGAAAAGCATCAAAAGAAATCAAGTGAGGCTGAGTGGTGGTGGTGGTGGTGGTGCACACCTTCAACCCCAGCACTCAGGAGGCAGAGCCGGTCTCCACGGGTTCAAGGCCAGCCTGGGACCAAGGCTGGGTGTGTAGTAGCACTGCCTTTACTCTTGCTGGGCAGGCAGGTCTGAGTTTGAGACCAGCCTGAGTAACAAAGTGAGTTCTAGGACAGCTGGCGCTATGTAGATAGACCCAGCCACAAACAAAACAAAAACAAAAACGCTGGAGGGGAACTCACTATGCTCTTGTCTCAGCCTCCCAATTGCCAAAGTGCTGGGATTACAGACCCATCCACCACCAAGACAAGAGCTTGGTCTGAGCCTGGCCTGAGCAGCACCCAGACTCCGTAGAGAGTTTAATTACGGTAGACAGATGTCCTGCTCCCGTTTGTTTGCTTACCACGGCAATCTGTGGTAAACTTGAGGAGAAAGGGGTTTGTTTTAGCTTAAAACCCAAGGTCTGCAGTAAAGGACTCAAGGCAGGCGCCAGAGGCACAAACTGAAGCAGGTTGCTGGCTTGATTCTCATGGTCTGCTCAACCCAGGACCTCCAGGGATGGCACCCCCCAAGGTAGGCTGGGCCCACCCACACCAAAAAATATAGAAAAAATAAAGTATAGAAAAATATAAAATATAGAAAAAATAAAAAGGTAAGGGGAATGACCGAACATGGTGTCCTGTACCTGTAGTCCCAGGTGCTCAGGAGGCTGAGGCAGGAGGATTATGACTTCAAGCCTTCTTTGGGCTATGGAGTGAGTTTAAGGCAAGCCTAGGAAACTCAGACTCTTCAAAGCACCATGGGAAAACAAACATGGTAGCCCATGCCTCTAACAATAAACTGGGGAGCTGAAGGCAAAAGGAGCCATGAACTGAAGGATGGAGAGAGAGAGAGAGAGAGAGAGAGAGAGAGAGAGAGAGAGAGAGAGAGAGAGATTCGTAGCTCTGGAGAGATGGCTCAGCTGTTCTTCCCAGCACCCACATGGCAGCTCACTAAAAATCTAACTCCAGTTCCAAGGGATCCTATGCCCTGTTCTGACTTCCATGGATACCACAATAATGTGGTGAACAGACATACATACAGACATGAAGACCTACAGACAAAACATGTTAAAAAGTTAAATTACATTTTAAAATCTTATAAAATGTGTGTGTGTGTTCCAGGACAGCCTGGGTTATACAGAAAGATCCTGTCTCAAAACAAAACAAAACAAAAAACTTAAAAACACTATCCGGATGTGATAGTGTTTAATTTTAATAATTAAATTATTATTAATTCAGTAAGCTCATCTAAGGCACAATTATCTACTCCACTAGGTTTACTGGAAATTAGTTCCAAGTCTTTTAGGTAGAAACAGAGGACGGGCCTTCCATGACCCTAAGCACACAGATGTCTGTTTCCAGATGAGATATATGTTTAAATTGGAATAAAATTCACTTTTAGAAAATAGTTTTTATTTATATTTTATGTTCATTGGTATTCTGCCATGATGTGGGAGGTCCTTCTGTATATGTGTTGCTTTTATTGGTTGGTAAAGCTATTTCAGCCAATGGCTTAGCAAAGTCAAGTCAGGCAGGAAATCTGAACAGAGACATAGAGAATCACGGAGACGCCATGTAGCTGCCGAAGAAGCGAGCAGTAACAAACCACGAGCCTCAAGGTAAAATATAAAAGAAATGGGTTGAGCTAACTAGGAATTGGCCAAACAGTGTTGTAATTACTATAGTTTCTGTGTGATTATTCTGGTCTGGGCATCGGGAGAAATGGACGAGCAGCCTCTGTTTACACTGCCGTCCGTGCAGTGTATCTGTGGAGGGTGTCAGATCCCCTGGGACAGGAATCACAGTTGTGAGCACCCAGGGGACTTGGACCAGGGTCCTCTGGAAGAGTAGCCTCACTCCCAACCACTGAACCATCTCTCCAGCCCTAAAATTCACTTTTTAATAATTAAAAAAAAAAAACATTGTGGCTAAACAAAGGTAACAATCATCTGAACTGTTGGAAGGGCTGCGGGTGCCTCATAGTCCAGAAACTTAGAATGAAAAAAAGTTCCATGAAATGCAATTAAGCAAAGAACAAGAAAATGGCCATAAAATAACAATAATATAAAAATAAAGCAAGGTGGTGGTGGCGCATGCCTTTGATCCCAGCACTCCAAAGGCAGAGGCAGGCAGGTCTCTGAGTTCAAGGCCAGCCTGGTATACACAGCGAGTTCCTGGACAGCCAGAGCAATTACTCAGAGAAACCCTGTCTTGAAAAATAAAACAAACAAATAATTATATAAAAATAAAGAGGGTGGAGTGGCAGCCCACACCGTTAGCTCCAGAATATGGAAGGCAGAAGCTGGTGTGTCTGAGTGAGCATGAGGCCAGCGTAATCTACAGAGTGAGAGGCAGGCAAGACAAGGCCCACAACAAACCCTGTTTCAAAACAAAGCAAAAATGAAGAGAGAAAGAGCAGGGAAGAAAATAAGGCAAAGGAAAAAGACCCAAGGGTTGGTGGTGTGGCTCGGTGGCGTTACATCTGCATGAGACTGTTGTTTCACAGCATAGAGACTGCAACAGCCCTGCCTCACTACTAGGCGACATTGTAGTGGGTGCCTGAGCCAGATCCAATTAAGTCCCTTCCAAAATTCCCAAGCACGGAATCTGTGATAACATGGGGCTAATTAGCAAGATGGTAATAAATCACCAGCGCAAAAGAAACGTACTGGGTATTTTACATCTGTTTATTTGATACTGGGCTTTGTGGGAACCTTTTAAAGTTCTGTTTATTTATTTATTTACACATATGCCTGTAGGCCAGAAGGGGGTGCCAGATCTCATTACAGGCAGTTGTGAGCCACCATGTGGTTGCTGGGAATTGAACTCAGGTCCTCCAGAAGAGCAGCTGTGCTCTTAACCACTGGGCCATCTCTCCAGCCTCTGGTTTTAACTTATGATCCTCTAATCTAAAAGGCTTAAGTGCTGGGACCATGCTTGGCTCTTTGATTTTTTTCTTTTCAAAACAGGGTTCTCCATATAACCTTGGCTGTCCTGGAATGCACACTGTAGACCAGGCTGGTGTCAGACTCAGAGATCTGATCTGCCTGCCTCTGCCCCCTGAGTGCTGGGATTAAAGGGATGTGCCCCACCACCCAGCCTCTTTCATAANCAGAAGAAGGCACCAGACCTCATTACAGATGGTTGTGAGCCACCATGTGGTTGCCGGGAATTGAACTCAGGACCTTTGGAAGAGCAGGCAATACTCTTAACCACTGAGCCATCTCTCCAGCCCTTATTTTTAATTTTTATTCTTTAGTTTTTTGAGACATAGTCTCCCTGTGTAACAGCTCTGGCTGTCCAAGAACTTGCTTCATAGACCAGGCTACCTCGAACTCACAGAGATCCGCCTGCCTCAGCCTCCCAAGTGCTGGGATTAAAGGCAAGCGCCAGCACAGCCCTGCTTCACATTTTCTAAAACGTCTTGTTTAATCAGAATTTCTCATATTTATATTTTTGTGAATAGTTTTTCCTCTGTGGGAATTTACAAATTTTCATAAAAATTTTCATGCTTTTGGCATAGAGTTCACAGCATTCTCTTGAGTTTCTTCTTTGAGACAGATCTAACGTAAACCAGGTTGACCTCAGCTTTCTGTGTAGAAAGAATGAATTTAAACTAACTCCCATCCCCACCTCTCAAGTACTAGGATAATGGGTGTGCACTACTGGCTAACTTCTTTTTAAATTTTATCAATTATCCTAGCATAGTGGTGCACATCTTTAATCCCAGCACTCGGGAGGCAGAGGTAGAGGCAGACGGATCTCTGTGAGTTCAAGGTAGCCTGGTCTACAGAGTGACTTCCAGGACAGCTAGGACTATTACATTGAAAAAACAGAGAGAGAGAGAGAGAGAGAGAGAGAGAGAGAGAGAGAGAGAGAGAGAGAGAGA